CCCGGAAAGCAGCCGGCCCAGACGGAATCCCAGGCAGAATCTTAAAAGCGTATGCCAACCAACTCGCGGCCCCCTTTACAGACATCTACAACGCCTCTCTGGCACAGTCCACTGTTCCGGCCTGCTTCAAAGCCACTACAATTATCCCTATCCCAAAGAAAACCACCATCTCCTGCCTGAATGACTACCGTCCCATCACTCTCACACCAATTGCGATGAAGTGCTTTGAGAGGCTGATTCTGGGTCACTTTAAGAACAGCCTTCCTGGCACTCTGGATCCACATCAGTTGGCCTACCGGGCAAACAGATCTACAGACGATGCAGTCGCCCTGGCATTGCACACAGCACTCAACCATCTGGAAGGAACAAACACATACATCAGAATGCTGTTTGTTGATTTTAGCTCCACATTTAAAGCCTTAATCCCATCCCGACTGGTATGCTAGCTCAACACCCTTGGAATCAGTAACTCACTCTGTAGCTGGATTATGGAGGCATTGAAGCTCTTGGCAGAGYGGTGCACCACCAACAACCTCTCCCTCAACACCAGCAAAACCAAGGAGCTGATTGTGGACTTCAGGCGAGGGAGTAGAGCGCACAAACCCCTGAGTATTGAGGGGACATTAGTGGAGAGAGTGGACAGCTTCAGGTTCCTCGGTGTTTATATCTCAGAGGATCTCACCTGGTCACTGAAAACATCCCACATTATCAGGAAAGCCCAACTGCGCCTCCACTTCCTCCGTCGTCTGAAGAGGGCTAAACTGCCACAGCAGTAGGGCTGGGCGATATGATCAAAATTTTATATCACGGTATTTTCAACATTTTCACCGGTTTCACAGTATTTGATGGTATTTTTCTTTTCATCACAGCTCAGCTGATAATAAAATGTACAAACCCTGCTCATACATGTCAACTTGTACGGATTGTCTGTAAGTTATAAGGATTTAACATCATTTTGCAGATATACGGACGTATAGAGCAATCTCACGTAGGGCTGCCACAAACGATTATTTTAATAATCGATTAATCACAGATTATTTATTCGATTAGTCGACTAATCGGATCATACGTTA